ATATAATATAATATGATGTAATATAATATAATATAATATAATATAATATAATATAATATAATATAATATAATATAATATAATATGATATAATATAATATAATATTATATTATTATATTATATTATGCTGCTACGTACTAACTATTCTGTGCATTGCTAGCAAACAAGGGTATAAATTAACCGATCCACCGTCATCAACATGTTATTTAAACAAGAGCTACTGCTCACTTTACACGTCGCTACGTCCACTCGCTGTCTCTTATACACATCTAGATGTGTATAAGAGACAGGGATCCGGCCTTTGGAACCCGATCTTTCCATAGCTGACGATTGATTGAGATAGCTGCTGGACTTATTGCCTGGTCCGTAATTTGCTAGGCATTTTAAGACTGAAGATGTATGGTCATGCATAGCTTCGTCTTGTCTGTTCTTGATGCAACTATCCAAGTTGTAAGTCTGTAAAGTGCCCTCGAAGTTTTGTACGTACTAGACGTCACGATAATCTCTTCTTAGAATAATAATAATAATAATAATAAAATCATAATCCACTCATTCAAAATGCAACTATTCATTGATATAAAACACCTACTGCATGCGTTGAAGATTTTATTGATTAATTGTCAAAAATATGAGATACCCAATGGCTGGACGACAATAGTTGATCCCGGTGGAAGTCTAGTAGCTACTTCAAACTATCGCCAGTCATGAAAAGATCCGGTCAAATGACGCGAGTTTAGATNTAGTACAACAACTTCAATTGTTTTGACGGATAACTTGATAAATGTTTATAATTTTAATTATGATTAACGTAGAGCTTTAACTTTCTCCTAGTTAGTCTGGAAACTGACGGCTATTGCATGTTCAGTTAATATAACGATTCATCGCTTAGGCAGGGGATTTTGGGTGATTATTAGAATCGATAAATTTTTACAAAATTTGGAATAATTAATGCGATGTTTCATTTAAGTTTTTGCAAGAAACTGCAACTAGAACAAAATTAAAAAGACATGAATACTTAGCCAAAAAAAGTTATGTTAACTTGGAACGTGCAATTTGCACATGAAAATTCATGTGCAATTTTCTATTAAAAAAATTAAAAGATAATGCAGAATATTCATATTATCAAACAAGCACATTTCAGCTCTAGCGCAGTTGCGGTTTTTTTGCCTAGAAATCGAAAACGTGATCAAGTCGCCCGGCCATCAAGACGAAAGCTTATGAAAAAAAACGAACAAAAAACTCGTCCGAAAGTTGTTTTCTATCAAAGAATCTAAAGAAATTTCGCAGGCGCGCACTAGTCTGCGTGCGCAGGAAAACTGAGTTTACGTGCATTCATGTTTAGATTTATTATCAACTTTCTATTTATTTGTTAAGTTTATGTATTAATTAACTCCATATATTTATTAAATTTATATTTATTAAACTTTACATTTTCAACACTGTGTGTATCCAGGTGAAAATAGCATGCCTCTGTTGAAAGAAAAATATGAAAAATCATACAAATTGGTAAATATTAATTTTAATAAATTGGTGATAAAATGTACCCGGAGCGTTAAAGAAAAGCGTAAAGCTTTTAGCAAAAAAATTGCGTCCATTTTTCAACTAAAATGATTCACCACACTCATATATTAGTGAAATATGCAAAGCTAACTTTTATCGGCAAGAAGTTTCTAATCAACAACCAGTTCTTTAAGTTCCGTCCAGCAAAACTATCAGATCAGTTAGGAATGAGGATGTCCACAAATCGACTATTGTTTTGTATACAATACGACGATGGTTAGTCACAATAAATTATATGATGGTTAGTCAGAATATCTCACTCTCACACATTATCATCTGTCTTATCTCTCTTATTATTATCTCTGTCTCAATATCGATACATTATTTGGTTAACTTACAGGGGAAAAATAATTCAATCATTGGGGATGATTTACTTTTTGAAAAAATGCATAATTATTATAAATGAAAGCGCTACTTAAATCACTAGTTGCCAAAAGAACAACGCTGCTGGTGACATAAATAACACTGAGTTAGACAATAACACTGAGCACGTGTCACACTGCAGGATTTCATGCAGCATGCATGAAATAACACTGAGTTACACAATAACACTGAGTTAGACAATAACACTAAGTTAGACAATAACACTGAGTGAGACAATAACACTGAGTTAGACAATAACACTGAGTTAGACAGTAACACTGAGTTACACAATAACACTGAGTTAGACAATAACACTGAGTTACACAATAACACTGAGTTAGACAATAACACTGAGTTAGACAATAACACGTGTCACACTGCAGCATGGCGGCCGCAGTGTACGTGGTGGTGACGCTGCTGGTGATATAAATTACACAGAGTCACACAAGAACACTGAGTACGTGTCACACTTCAGGATTTCATGCAGCATGCATGAAATAACACTGAGTTAGACAATAACACTGAGTTACACAATAACACAGTGTGTGTCACACAGCAGCATGGCGGCCGCAGTGTACGTGGCAGTGACGCTGCTGGGGATATTCAGGGCCGCGCAGGCGCAGGTTTACGGGGCGGGTGCCTGCCCTGAGTACCAGACGTCTGATGCCTTCAACCTTCAGCACATCAGCGACGTGAGCTTACATTTTTTTGTTAAATAAATAATTTTAAAAAAATGAATAATTTCTAAATAATTAAAAAAATAATAATAATAATGTCGTAAAGTCATAATAATTATAACAGGAATATATGGCATGTAGTTTCTAACAGGAAATTAAATCTTTAAGGTGTAACAGAAACGTATGTAATAAATGTTGTAAGAAAAAATTTAATACAAAGCTGAAATACAGGACTAGAAAGAATGAAATCGAAATAGCCTGCCCTTATGCGATCAACATTCGTGTAAATATTCAGAATGTGTCTCACTGATAGAACGAGGATGGTTAATGTGATGAATAATGCTTATAATGATGCAGTGGATGAATAACGTTCTCTTCAAATTGAATTCACTGAGAACAATAAACAAAAATCGATATAATGCA